GCTGCTGGCCATGACTCTGTGGGCCTCCAATTCCGCCTATGACAAGGAGGGTCACAGTCCATGGATCCAGCCAGTCCCAACAAGAGCCCATTCTCCTCTAGAGACCCCATGCTCCGGCCTCGCCCACCTGACCTTTCCCCACAAGTCCTTAAGTTCCTACCTCCCTTCCTTTGCTCATGCTGTTCCTTTCTCATTCTGCCTTTCCCCATTCCCTCAGCATGCCAAACAGCAAGCGAGAGCTATGTTCTCGACAGCTTTTAGACTCCACACACCATGTCTCCCCTGCTACTATCACTAGGCTATGTGACCCCAACAGCAGGCCCAACTCGGATCCATCCCCAACCCCTCCAACCCTCCCAGAGCACAGCAGCCCCTGGACTCCCTCATAGGCCCAAGACTCATGGTCACTTGTGAGCACCTGTCAAGGTGGGGTCTCCCATACAGTTTTGCAATTTTAAGTTGTTTAGTCTGGAGGGAGAGGGCTTGGTGAGCTCAGGCCACAATTCCCCCACTGTGAAGATGAGGAAACCAAAGTGTCAAGAGGACTGAAATTTTGCCTAGGGTAGACCCAGGGCTAAGATCCATCACCCCTTCTGAATCCCGACACCAGGCCTGGGATTTCTCTGCAGAATCTTGCCTGGGAGGGCATGGGTAGGGGGCAGCTAGCTGCGTGATTCAAGGATCTGCCACTGCCAGCCTAGTACGATATTATCAGGCTCAGGCACTGGAGCAAAATATTACCCTTGGCCCCTGAGCTGCTCCAGCTACTCCCCACTCTGCCAAGTTCAAGGTTGGACCTGGAGGAATGTGGACCCTTCCTGTTACACCCCCTTGCCCTGGGAGGGCCTGAAGTGGGCCAGTCCAACTCCCTCATTTTACAGATGGACAGACTGAGACCCAGGCCTCCCCAATGCCCAAAAGATATGTTCACCCTGCTCACTTGGTATTCAGGGAGCTTCACAGGTTGGAAGGACCACCCCCATTTCCATTTCCTGCTCCATCCAAATCCATTTCTCCTCCTCTTCCCCTTTATAAACCTCCCAGCCTCTACTCACATTGTTCCTGTGCCACAAATGCCTTTCCATGCCTTTCCCTCTCTATTCTGTGAGGTGGATGTCTTTTCACCCTTCCTCAAGGATCAGTTTGCACATCACCTCCTCTGAGGAATTTTCCAGGATTTCCCCCATCCTAAAGACAGCAAGGTGAAAGAAAGGGACTTTGATATGGGCAGATCACTCAAGTCTGAATGCCATTACCAGCTCAAGGTGCCTTCATCTCCGAGCTTCAACTTCCTTCTCTGTAGAATCTGGGTAGTACTTCTCTTGCACAATGGCCAAGTTGCCATAGAGCAAACCCTATATCTGACATGCAGCAGGTGCTCAGTAAATGCCAAAACCCTCCTCTTGGGGTGTTTACACGTTCCTGGGATGTGGCTAAAGCTTCTCGAGCAGCGCACGGAACTGTCCTTTGATCTTTGTTTCACCACCTCATTCCATCCCGCCCCGCCCCTTGCAGGGAGGAAGGGAAATAGGCCGGCAGTTAGGAAGACCCCAGCCCTGAGGGCTCGCGGTACCAAGAACTGTAGAGCTTTTGTGCGACCTGGCAAGTCTGGACAAAGGCTCACCTGTGCGGTTCCTCCCAACTTGTAGGGGGCGGAGCTAGCATGAAGCAGGCCATCATTGGAGCCGGGAGCTGTCACTCAGGCAGGCCCTGAGAGTGCCAGGGGACCTGGTGTGCCCCACCCCAAGGGGCTGTACCTACGGGCGCGCGCGAGGTTTGAAGTAGTTGGTCTTGGACAGAGTTGGTCTTGGAAGGCGCTGACTCTTCGTTCTGCAGAATAAGACGGCATGTAGGTAAAGGAGTGAGGGCCTACAGGGAGCCTGCCCAGGAGAAGGGAAGCTCGGAGTACAGCCTCCAAATTGGGCTCTGTTTGCTTCTCGTCCCGTGTGACCTGAACAAGTCTCTTCCCTCTCAGCCTTGGTTTTTCCATGAGTAAAATGGGACCACCTGTCAAGGATATGGAATGAAATTGTATTCTTTTAAAAGGGCCTCGCAGTGGATACTGAACCTCTCTCTAGATGGGGGTGAGGTGGGGTGGGTGGATAGGCACAGAGGATCTAAATGGTGGGGCTAAGAGACTGCTGGAGGCAACAGACCCACTTCCCCAGAGATTCTGGACTCAAAAGGTGCTGGTATAAATCACAGTTCGACTACCTATCAGCTGTTGTCCTCAGTTGTAAAATGGAACGGTAATCCTGGACTCAAATGGTAGCTATAGGGGATATATGTCTGGTATCTGACAAATGCAAAATGAGTTGATACTATTATTTTTATTTGACCGACAGGACCCCAGACCCCACCTCCCAGGCTCCAGCTCCCTTTGCTCTCCAGGGAGGCCTGTGGGAGACTCTGGGGCCTCCAGTAAGGGAGGCAGAGTGGCTTTCCCCAGGGGGTCTGAGCTTTTTGCGTCCCCTGGCTGACTCCTCGTGTTGTCTTGAGCATGTTGGCTCTCTGGGCCTCAGTTTCTTCCGCATTCCCAGTTCAGGACTGCAGTGCTCCAAGAAGCAGACCCGGAAGGGCTTGGAAGGGAGAAGCAAGGCAGATGGGGGCAATATCTAGGCAAAGGTGTGTCGGCTGAGAAAGCGGTGCTTTTGTGACTGATCCTGCTCCATCTGAGGTGGTCCCTGAGATGCTCCAGCATAGGGTCAAAATGCTGCCAGTAACAGTCTCTACTGTAAGGTGGCCCCGACCAGGTGTCCCGAAAGCAGCCTGGGGGCAGCGGCCAAACGCAGCGACCCACGCGAGGAGGAGGCGGAGTCCAGGGAGGGGACATGGTCTCACGAACAAAGAGGAGGGCTGTCCGGAAGGCTCCCAGACCGAAGGCGATCTCAGGCCACTTACCCCGGCCTGAGGGGAGTGGGGGGCCTCCTGAACTTTGGCTCAAAACTGCGTCCTCCTGCCGACACTCACCCGACCGGCCAAGGCCACCACGGCAGTAGTCCCACGACTACAATTTCCTACACACCAGGCCCGCGAGGGGCGTGGCCGTCAAATTAAATTGCCCCAATGGAGCACGAGGGTGGGCGGGACCCTCTCGAGGGTTGGCTGGCGCGGCTGGGCGAGGCGGGGCCGACCGGGCTGCTGGCGCGGCTGGACAGGCGGCGCTTCCAGAATCTTGAGGACGGTTGCTGTGCGGCCCTAGGATCCCGGTCGCGGCGCCTTCCGCCTGACTGTTCCTAGCCATCTGTCGGATCCCGAGCGACCTAACCTGAGCCCGCGTGCGACTGGTGAGCCAGACTGAGAGGTGGGCGTGGGGGCCTCCTGGTCCCGGAGTGGAAGCCGGGTATCTGGGCGGGGTTCTGGGACTCCCAGACCTGGGAGCCCCCACCCACCCGCGGGGGTTCTAAACCATGGGATAATGCTCTGAGACCAGGAAGCTTCACAACCTCCTCGGGCGCTGGCCAGTGGGGGCAGACACCGCGGAGAAGTTCCCACATTCCACTGAGGTCTCCCACAATCGCAGGGGACCCAAGACTGTGACAGAGAGCCATGCGACTCGAGTGGGGCAGCGGGAATACCCGAGGAGAAAAGAGACTTCCTAGAGTACCCTGGAGGTCCTAGATTACAGATTTAGGGACCTCTGCCCCTCAGAAGACTTGGGGGAACTCAGAACTTAAGTCTGATAATTGGCGAGTGACAGTCTTGGCTGCGGGGGGGGGGGGTACCCCAAAGTAGGTTGGTAAGAAGCAAGGACTCCAACAGAGGGAGGCTAGGAAATTGACATCTATTGAGGCTACAGGGATGGAAAAAGCAAGCAGCAACTTAAACAGGCAGGGTCCAACGAAACCATCTCTGTGGACTAGAAAACCCCCTCCCCCAGACCCATTCACTGGATTGGGTGACTCAACAAGTGACTGTTCTGGGGAGAGGGAAGGGGTGACTGAGTGATGAGTAAACAAAAGGGGGGAATCCTGGGGGCACTTCAGTCCCCATACATTAACTAAACACCTATGGTTTTCAGGCTGTAGACCCTCAAATTCCAGAAAGACTGGTAGGGCTGTAGGAGGAAGGAAAGAGCTGCACTTGGGAGGCTGGATCAGGATTTAGGGGGCCATTTTGATGGATAATGAGGGGGTAAAAGGGACAGTCCTGAGCCCCTGAGGGCACTTCAGAAGGGGGCTTCAGAAGGCAGAGGTGGCCAAGACTTTTATAAAATTCATCCCTGCCCTCTGGTTTTGGGATCCTCCTTCCCCTTGTGACAAATCCCCAGTCCTCTCCAATCCTCAATTTGCCTAAATCCAGAGGTTGGATGGGTCAGCTTTCAGCTGAGGAATTGAATTCTAAGTGTGTGAACTGGTGAAAGGAGCTAGGTCCCTGACACCTTGCTTCTAGAGGTCAGGGCAGCTGGCATTACGGGGAGGGCAGAAGTGGGAGGAGTAGAGAGGGGTGTGCACAGAGGGCTGTCCTCAAGAATTGGAAGACAGGGCGTTACCTGGAAGCCTTAAGTCACCTAGGGGAATGAAAATGGCAGTAGCAGGAAGGACTTACAGAAGGCCTCAGCCCATAGCCAGAAGCTGAGCTTTTGGGGATAGGTGGGACTGGGCAGGCCTTGGGGATGGGTGGGTGGAACAGGAAACTGTGGAGTCTGGTGGGCACCCCCTGGTGGTGATCACAGCTTGGGTGGGCTTTGGTGGCACCTAGCTTCTCAATCTAGGTCCATACTCTCCCTATTTGCTCAGACAGGGTGAGGGCCCAGCTTAGGCCATACAGCAAGCTGGCAGTTGAGTGGGTGGACTGGAACCAGGGACTCCTAATTTGTTGAGTTTTCCAGCACACTACCATAGGGCAGAGGGCAACTCCCAGCCAGGAGCCGCATCACAGGTAGCAAGGATGGGACAGCAATGAATGATTATGGGTAAGAGGGGAAACTGAGGCACTAGAAGAGGCTCCAGCAGGCCTGACTTATGTCTGTCCCCTGCAGAATTCCCTGAGCTGGTGTTAAGTGCCACAGGCACTGAGGATCTCACCAGGAGGGGACAAACAGAGATAGGGGCCAGCAAGATGGCGGACGAGGCCTTGGCTGGTCTGGATGAAGGAGCCCTTCGGAAGCTGGTAAGTGGCCCCATCACCCCCAATGTCAGGAAGGCAGGCCAGGCCAGAGAGACAGGACCTTCCAGGCTACTTCTCAGTTGACAAGAGGAGGTGATGGGGGAGGGGAAAGGAGAGGGGGCTCAGGGGAACAGGACTAAGTCTGTTCCACATGGTTGAGGCAAAGGCCCCAGTGGCATTTGCCGGTCCATGCCAGGTGCTGAGGCCTGATCCCTACCAGCCCCCCCCTGCTACCACTCTTTTAAATAGTAACTGCTAAGGACTCACCCATATGCGGCCACAAGTGTAGGGAGGCTGGATATTCCTCTCCCAGGCAACAGCCTGGGCAGCGTCCACCCCTGGAGGCTGGCCCAATGATAATACAGGCGGCAATGATTAATAATGCGGGGGCACAGCAGGGGTAGGCTGGGTGCTAGGCACACTATTTCACAAAATGGTCACAGCAACTCTGCGAGCCAGGAGGACACTGCCTCAGATTAAGTGAATTCACCTGCCCAAAGGCACCCAGCTAGGAAGAGGGTGTGCCAGGATCCAAACAAACCCCAAAGAGGGGCACGGAAAACCAAGAGTCCTGACTAAGTCAAGGCCAGAAGAGTCTTATGAGCTCTGTGACTTATAGTCTGTCATTTTTCCACTCTGAGCCTCGGTTTCTTTACCTATAAAATGGGAGGGGCAATGTGTGTGTGAACCTAATATCTAGGTATTAGAGTTGGTATGGCGATGGAAATTCAGCATGGGCCCAATCTATCCCTTCCCGAGCTTCTTCTTGAGTGCCCTAAAGCACTCCCCCTTCCCCCCACCATACACAAATAAGTTGTGCGGCAACACAACAGGACAGGCACATGCCCACCAGCAAGGGCATGGAGCAGCTGAACTGGTTGAAGGACCAGTGCCCCACCTCCCCAGCCCCTGACCCTTGTCCGGGGCGGGAATTAAAGATTTACCTTCCCTAGAAGGCAAGTGACCTACCCCACCCCCTTACCATTCCTCTGGAAGCAGGGGCTGGAGTCAGCCAGTCCAGACCAGCCACTGGGCTATGCCCAGCCGCTGCCATGATCCACCAAGGCACTAGGTCTGTGTGTCCTCAGACAAGCACCTTTGGGTGTTTGCCACCGCCACAGCCTGAGGTGTGCAGCCCGGAGGGGATGGGTTGGGTTTCCAAAGGTCAATTCGACCTCCATTCAGGAAGTAGGAATTCTAAAAGAGGTAGTAAACGCTGAGCGGTCCAGAGAGAAAGCCCTCTCCGCGCATCCCCATCTGTAGGGGTTCCCTCTGAGGCTTATGGTTCTCCAAACACCACCCCTAGACCTCTGCGGGATTTGGGCAGTGGAAGAGTTTCAGACGAGCCGCAGCAGTGGCTGTATCGTGCCCAGCCCAGTGCCTGTCCCAGGGAAAGGACTAACGAGACCCCGCCCCTTGTCTCCGGACCAAAAAGCTGCCCGAGGTCTTTACTACCCCAGGCCGGTTTCTCCACCGCAGGGCACCCGCCGTTACTTCGCTCCGACGCCTCCGAGGGTCCAGCCCCCGCGCCCTGGCCCGGCTTCGGCTGGCCTCGTGGCAGGAACGGGGGTGTCCCGAGCCGGGCTCCTCCCCTGGGGCCGGGCCTTATAAGGAAAAACCTGCCCCCGCCCCGACATCTGGCTGATCTGGGGACTCTAGTAGCCGCTTCCGGCGCAGCTCCCGCACATTCCTGAAGACCTGGGGCGGGGGTGGGCAACATGGGAGTGGGGGAGCCTAGGGACACGTACGCCGCGTGCCCCTCCACCTGAGTCCGGAGTTACAGATCGGAGTAACTAGCTGGGTGACCTGGGGAAGCTACTTCAGTTCTGTGAACCTCGGTTTCCTCTACGTAGCCGGGGCTATTAAAACAGGCAGTAACGGGGCGATTCCTGTCTGGCTCCCTCCTGGGCGTCTAGTGCGGGACATGTTGGGGACTGGGGGACAAGCAGGCGGGCGAAACGCGGGCGGGGTTCCGAAGCTTGCGGGCCGTCAGCGCCCCCTGGCGAGGCCTCACTACATTGCCAGCCACTCCCCCACCGTAACTGGAGGGGCTGGGCCTGAGCCAAGGCCTAGTAAGTCTCCTCCCTTGAGCTGGTGGGGAGACTGAGGCCCAAGGAGATGCCAGGGCCTGTCAGATGCCCCCAGCAGAGAGGGCAGAAAGTACCCAGAGGCGCCCCCCTCCCCCGGAGGAAGCGCTCTCTTTCCTCCCAGGAGAATTTCGCTGGGCAGTTTCGGAAACCGCCCCATCCTTTTCCCCTTCCCCCAGTGGACAATGGCGCTTTGTACTTCCCTCCCTCCCACAGCCCCCTCCACACACAGCGGTGGGGCCTGAGAAGGTCCTGAATGCAGGACACACAACAGGGACACTGTGGGTGGATCCTTGCCCCCAAGCCCAAGGGCAGGGTCATGTTGGAGACCGACCAATGGAATGAGGTTGTCCATCTCCCAGGCCCTGCCCTATCCACTTGGCAGGGAATCAAATAGGCTTCCATTTTCCAGATGGAGACACTGAGGCCCCCAGGTGTTGCAAAGGTGGCCAAGTTCCCACATCAGGCCTTTTTTTTTTTTTTTTTTAATGGACAAGGACCCCATCTCTGGATGGGCATTGGAAAGGGTGGCCCAGAAGACAAAGGGCTAGTCATTGCATCTAAGCCTCTCTACCCCTTGCATAAGGAGGACTGGACCAGTTTTCCTCTCCAGCCTTCAATCTTCAAACAGTACCGTAGAGGGCTCTGAGCCTGAGGCAAGGCCAAGGCTAGGAGGTGGGAAGGTGAGCCTCACTCTTCCTCCCTCTGCTAAAACAGTCCCCCCTCCCATGCCTTAGTCCTTTTATAGGTATCTCTAGACCAGGCTAGAAGGGAACCCCCGACACAGTGCCAAGGACCTCAAGGTACTCATTATAGCAGACAGACTCCAGCAACAGAGCTGTCCTCATCCTAGCGCAGACCCTGGAGTCAGAGAGACCTAGATTCAAATCCTGGCTCAGGTCACCTGACCATAAACAAATCACTTCTCTTCCCTGAGCCTCAGTTTTCTCATCTGTCAAATGGGAGTAATAAGGTCCCAGGGTTTCTGTGAGGTTAGGACAAGTGAGGGCTCAGCACAGAATGTCCCGTACAGATTCTCAATAAATGTTACCAATACCTCTGTTACGTTGTACTCATTTGCCCTCACCTTTCCCTTCTCCTAAGTGGCTGGAACCAAGCAGGGAGGTAATACTGCAGCAAAAGCTATGTGGCAGGTAAGGCAGGGGGATCCAAGTCACTGCCCAATCCCCACCCACTAGCCTGAAGGGGAAGCCATTGTCCCATCTGGTGAATGAGAAAACCAAGACACAGAGGTTAAAGACATGCTCCTGACCACCCAGCCAGGACCAGACTAAACTGGGGCTGGAGCCAGCCGGAGGTTCTGGCCTGACCCTCCATAGATCTTCAGGAATGTGGAGCCTGAAGGGACCTAAAGTGACTCTGTCCCCAGGGCTCTCCCTATGCTCCTCAGATTGCTACAAGTGGCTCAGTTGGGCCAGCCCACACTTCCTGCTGAAACCTATACCCCCAACCTCCACCCAGCTCCCCCAAGGAGCAGGAAGGAATGATCACAGAAGAGGCTAAAGAGGAAGGGGGGGTAGAGGGTTCCTGGGCCCTGCCTGTAAGTGATCTAGGGGGTAGGGGCAGAGGAAATCACATTGACTACACTTGCTCCCATCTGGCTCAGACCCGTACTGGAGGCTAATGTCTGCCATTGTTTTCCTGGGGGCCGTAGGCAGTCCTCCCTTGAGCCACAGAGGCACAGTGCAGGGTCGAGGTGTGGGAGAGGTAACAAGATTGGCTGACTTCACCCAGAGAAGGTGCCCTTTCCTAGACCTGGTTAGACCAGCTACTCCCAATTTCCCAGGGACTGAGGGGCTAAGAAGCCTGAGCACTTGTCCCCCATGGACACACTGGGTGAACCCTAGTGCAGCTGCATATCTGTCTGTGGGGTTGGCCCTCCCACTCCGGGCCCTAGCCCCTCCCCCCGTTCAGTGGTGGCTAGGCCTGGGCCACTGCAGGGGAAATAGCCATGAGGAGAACTAGGACTCCTGAGCGCTGGCTCCTGCCTCGGTTTCCCAATCAGTCCAATGTGGGTGAGGCTGCAACCCCCCAGCAGAGCTGTGGTACTTTGAATCTAAACCATGGGAGTCTCTCTTGCTCACAACGTAGACTCCAGCTGCCTGAATCACCCTTCTGTTCCCCGGGATGCTGTTAGGGGCCCATAAGTTGGCCTCCCTCTTCCTCTTCCTTCCATGATTCCCGGGCTCTTAGGGATTTGATGAAGAGCTCTGAGAGGAGGGAGTCAAAGGAAGGAGTGCCTGCCTTAGCACCTGGCACAGGACGGCAGGTGCTGGCTGCCTACTCTGCGAACCGTGGTGGGCTGTCCAGACGCCCAGGCTGCGTGAGCTGGGTCTCCCTTTGAGATCCTGAGTGGGTGGGTGGGTGGGCGGGCATTCACGTGACAGGCTTGGGCAGAGGGCGTGGAAATAGATCACTCATTGTACGATAGGCCAAGCCGTGGGCAGCTGGTGCCCACCCTCTGCCCCTGGCAGCCAAAATGACCTGCCCCTCGCCCCCGCCTGCCCTGCAGTTGGAGGTCACAGTGGATCTGGCAGAGCGGCGGCGCATCCGCTCGGCCATCCGGGAGTTGCAGCGGCAGGAGCTAGAGCGAGAGGAAGAGGCCCTGGCATCCAAACGTTTCCGTGCTGAGCGGCAGGACAACAAGGAGAACTGGCTGCAGTGAGTTGGGCCTGTGGGGCGAGGACATGCAGGGGCCAGGGCTCAGCCCATGCTGTGCAGGCAGGCACAGCTGAGGTGTGTCTGCTGCCCACCTAGGTGTGCAAATGGCAGTACAGACACTCATTTGGAATACACAGGGCTGTTTGTGGGCAAGGACAACATACCAGCCATGGTGTCCCGGCCATATCCAGGTGGATAGCATGTCTGAGTGTGTGCTATTAGAGCTCATGTCCACAGGCATGCATGCACCAGCATGTGGCCAAAGGATGTTCACAGCTATACGGCCAAGGTTCTGGGTACCCTGTCCTGGCCCCTGCTCTGAGCCCTCATCCTCCATGACCTGGCCACGGCAGTGGGGGTTATAGGCATGATGTCCCTGCAGCTCTCAGCATCGGGAGGCCGAGCAGCGGGCTGCTCTGGTGCAGCTGGCGGGGCAGCTGGAGTCCATGAGTGATGTGGAGGAACTGACTGCGCTGGTGAGGCCCAGGCCAGGGCAGGGGATGGGGGCAGGGCAGGTGAAGACCTGAACTCCATAGCCCAATACGCGTGGCCTGCCTCTCACCCACAGCTGCGAGGTGCCGGTGAGTACGAGGAACGCAAGCTGATCCGGGCTGCCATCCGCCGAGTACGGGCCCAGGAGATTGAGGGTACATGCCCTGCCCTGGCCCCACCCCTGCCTGTGCTGCCCTTAGCACCACCCAGCCACTCACCTGACGCTTTTCCCATCTCTTTCAGCTGCCACCTTGGCTGGGAGGTTGTGCAGTGGGCGTCCCAACAATGGCTCAAGAGAGGACAGCAAGGGGCGGGCAGCGCACAGGCTAGAACGGTGTAAGGTAAGAGGTGGCCAACATGGGAGGATGGCCCAGTGTCCTGTGCCCACAGATGCTAGCAGCCAAGACCCCCTGTGTCTTTGCAAGACTGTCCTTGACTGAGAAGGGCCCCCAGCTATGTTTGGGGGACACTAGGGGTCTATCTCAGGCCTCTGCCCCCTCTCCCAGACACCCTCTAGTCATATGTCTTCCATTCCACTGTTGTCTATACCCAAGCCTTCCCCTCAAAGCTAACCTGTCTACACTGCTCCCAGGCTCCTGTCCATCTCCCATTACCACTCTGTTGACCTCCCTGCTTGGCCTCCCCACCTTCACAACTACCTTCCACCTCCGTGCCACCATCCAGCCTCCACTCAGCAGACGAGCATCTCCCTGAAATGCGTATATGACCCCGGTACCTCCCTAGCTAAAAGCTACTCTGCAGCTGCCCCTCCCCCTCCAAACAGCCCACATGCTTACCTTGGCGTATGGGGCCTGAATTTTGGGCGTGAGCTGACTCGTGGAACACTGTTCACAGAGGGGACTCTGTTCTCCAGGGAGTGTGGGTGAGAAGTCAGGCCATGCTGGTCCCCTAAGTGGCCAGCAGAGGCCGCTGGGTCCCTGGTAGAACACCAACCCTCTCCCCTGATTAACCAGGCTGAGGCCGAGGTTCCAATGCCTCGGGTCTAGGGATCTGCTAAGTCTGGGACTCCCCAGCAGGTGTCCTGCCCTCCTCAACCCCTGGCATTAGGATCTTATCTTCTCTGAACTTCCTGTGACCAGGCAGTGCCGAGCCATTGGGAAGTGAGGATCAGACACGGCCTGTGGCCGACCAGGGCGCGTGCTTGTGCAGGTGCGCCTGCAGGAAGCCGTGTCCAGCTCCTCTGCTTTGCATGCCCTGCCCTGCGCACCTGCCAGCCTGGGGAGGCTTGGCCGCATTCTGTGGGTCCTCCGCAGGTGCCAGAACCAGAGAAACAGGAGCAAGAGGCAGAGGTCCCGGAGGCAACCCCAACCCCCGAAGTCACCAGTTGTGATGTGACCACAGTGACACTCCTGCTGCAAGTCCCACCTGGGAGCACATCCAGCTCACCTGCCTCACCCGACAATTCTCCCACCTCTGCCTCTCCTGAGCCTCCACCAGAGCCTGCCAAGGCCCAGTGCCCTGCTGCCGAGGCTCTGAGCAGCCCCAAGCCACTCGCCAGCCCGCCCAGGGCTGCCAGCCCGGAGCCCCAGGACACTCCCGCCCCCCACAGCACTGAGAGACAGGAGGTCAACGAGGTGAGCCTGGATGAGTGGGAGGGATGCTAGGCAGGTTAGCTCCTTGGTCTGGAAGTCAGGCCCTACCCTTGCCTTCTCTCCCCTGCAGCTCCTGCCTGGCCCCACAGAGCCCCCTACTGTCCAAGGCCCCGCCAAAGGCCCCTCCAACACAAAGAGAGCAGGTGAGGGTCCCAGCAAGGGTAGCTACGGGCACCTGCCTTCCTTTCCCCTGGCCTCTTTCCCTGCCTGAGAAATGGGCTCTTGTGCCTAGACAGCTCTAGCCTCCTCAGGTCCAGGCAGTCCCTGACACTCCTCCCACTGCCCCTGAGGTGTTCCCACCCCCTCCCAGTGATGGCCAGAGGCTTCCCGCAGCCATGAAAGGCAACAGGCCTCAGGCACATTCTTTTCCCCAATAAGGGAGTGCGCCCATCTCCCAGCTGGAGCTGTGGGCAGTGCTGGCCAGGGTGGGGGGGTGTCCTCCATCCCTATCTGCAGGAAGGATCTGGGCACCCTTCCTCCAGCCCAAGCCTAACCCCAGCCCCCAGGAGTGTCCAATCATCCTGGGGTCAGTGCAGGAGGGGGAGTAGGGGCCTGTAAGAGAAACGCAACTGAGTGGGGAGGCCAGGAGCTATGGGAGGTGCAGGATGGACTACAGAGGTTGAGTTGCAGGAAGGGGTCAGGACCCTCATACACTCTCCTTTCTCTTCCCCCACATGGCTGCTACTGCGCCCTGCTACTGCCAGACCTAGCTGGACCCCATCCCTGCCAACGCTCCCTGTCCGTGCTCAGCCCCCGCCAGCCAGCCCAGAACCGAGGTACTGCCTGTTCCACTATCCCAGGCTCGAAGCAGTCCCTGTCACACCCAACCACCGACAGCTTTCCCGTCTCTTCTAGAGCCCGCCCCTCGTGTCAGTGGACCGTCCCCATTCCAGCGGGCTGGCTCCGTCCGGGACCGCGTGCGCAAGTTCACATCTGATTCCCCTATGGCTGCTGGGCTCCAGGATGGCCCACCTCGGGCGGCTCTAGGTCCCTCAAACCCTGTGAAGCTCCTGGGCCCCTCCCACATCAGTACCACCCCTGCCTCCTCCTCCAGCGGCTCCTCCTCACAGGGCCCTAGTGACACCTCCTCCGGGTTCAGCAAGGAGCAGCAAGGAGCAGCTCGGCAGCTTCAGAGCTGCCCCCAGGAGGAGGGCCCCAGGGGGCGGGGCTTGGCTGCCAGGCCCCTTGAAAACAGAGCAGGGGGGGCCGTGGTCTGCTCAGAGGAGCCCAGTGCCCTGCTGCCCGTGGCTGTCGGCACTGCTGAGCCAGGGGCCAATATGAAGACGACATTCACCATCGAGATCAAGGATAGCCGGGGCCAGACCCCCACAGGCCGGGTGCTGCTGCCCACAGGCAACCAGAGGGCAGGTAGGTCTCCCCATTGCTGGAGATGAGTTTCTGCAGCTCTGCAGCTCTGCACATAGGACAGGTGCTGCGACCAGGGCTCAGGGAGTCTCCAAAGGGTGTTCTGGGATCAAGGGGATATCATCAACCTCGGCTGGCACTGTCCTCACCCCACCTGATCCTGACAGTAGTCTCTCTCCCCTTCCAGAACTCACACTGGGGTTGCGGGCACCCCCCACCCTTCTCAGCACCAGCAGTGGGGGCAAAAGTACCATCAGCCATATCAGCGGCCCTGGGATGCCAGCCCGGGTGGGCAGTGTCACCCATATCACCAGCTTCAGCCATGCCTCCCCTGGTGGCCGAGGAGGCTGCAGCATTAAGGTGAGCCCTTCCTCACCCCACCAACGTCACCATCTACCTCATAGAGACTGCGTCGTGGTACAGGGCTGGCAGGGTTCCTCTATTCTGCATCTCTCCACTGCACACATGGGGAAACTGAGGCCCAGAGAGAGAAGGTGGCTGCCCACAGTCCACAGCCAGTTGGTAGCACAGCTAAGGCCAGGCACTAGCCTATCGTCCACTAGACGTGTCAGAAGCTTACTCTGTATTGGTCTTAAGCTGCCCACATGCTGATTTCTGATCCTTCCTCCAAAATTGGTTGATTCATTCCTAATGAACAGATGGGAAAACTGAGGCTCAAGAAGGGCACTTACTAAGTGCTTGCCCCCTTCTTCCTGGGGCAGTGCCAGTGCCCCTGCTCCTACCCCACACTGGACCTTAGCCATCGAGGTGCAGAACTGATCATCCGCTCATCCAAGATCAGCCTGGGCCCTCAGAAGATTGGAGATTAGCGATTAGCATCTGCGTCAACATTGGGCGGGGGGTGGGGGGGGGGGGTCTGGGAAGAAGCATTGATAGGGGACAGATGGGGCAGGGGGGCGCCAGTCAGGTGAAGCAGAAACCTAGCAGGTGCCACGGGAACTGAATACATTGCACCCTTCCATTATTCATTCCCAAGCCTGGGATCAGCTGGCTGGAAGCTCAGCCGGGGAAGAAATCCCCAGCAGGCCACCGGCTGCCCAGGTAATGCCCTCTGTGCTGCACCAGGAACTGAATAGGACTTTGGCTGAGGTGTGATGGCTAGAGCCAGCTTTGGACCTTCTCACGGGTGACGAGGAAAGGGTAGGGGCAAGAAAACACCCTTCCCCCCACAGGGCAGGACCTAACTGCTATCTGCCAAGGGAGCAAGGATGGCGTGGCTGAGGCCCTTGGGTCTGTAGGAAGTGCCACCGTGAGCCCTGGGTCTGATGCCACCAACTCACCTCAGTTTCCCAAGGGGAAACAAGGGGAAGCAGATAATGTGCCTATAGTGTACTTGCTAAAAGTCTGTGGTTGGATCTGAGGACATTTATCTCAAGGACAAGAGACTTTTTACAGTAGGTTGCTCAACATCCTGCCTCCCCTTGCCTTCATTTCTCTCATCTGTTCAAGGCTTTCTAAAACAGTGTGGCCTGAAGACAAAGGAGTGCAAGCTCCGGAGTCTAGCAGGCTGGACCCTCACAGCTGAGGCACAGGGTGGCCCAGGCAGACCCACTCCTTGCTCCCTGCTTCAGTTTCCCCACCCGTGGATCATGGGGCCCTGGCCTCAGTAATCCTTCCGAACCCATGCAGCCTTGCTGCGCCTCATATCTGATCTCTGTAGGGCCAGAGCCAGGCCTGTCGGTCAGGCTGCTTGGGCAGGCCACCCCTCCCCCACAGCCCCCTTCACAGGGAGCTCAGAATAGGTTTCTATTTGGGCTGCAGCCCCAGTTGGCGGTAGCGGGCTGGGAGGCCAGCGGGGGCGGGGCGGGCCCACTGCCCTTGCCTTCGCCCTCAGACCAGCTGCAAAGACTCTGACACTACCAGCCAGAGGCAGCAGTCCCTACCACTGTCCCCATCACCACCCCACCACAGAGCCCCCACCAGCACCATGCCGGGGGTACCAGGGCCTGGGTCTGAGCTAGCCGCAGCTCTTGAGGAACGACTGGGCCAGGCATTGGAGGAGTTGCGGGCAGTGGCTGAGGCAGGCCGGGTGGCAGTGACCCAGGCAGCCGAGGCAGCTGTCTCGACCGTGGAGCCAGTGGCCCGGGCCACTGAAGAGCTGCGGGCGGAGACAGCAGCACTGAGCCGGCGGCTGGATGCACTGGGCAGGCAGGTGGAAGTGCTGAGCCTGCGGCTGGGGGTCCCACTCGTGCCCGACCTTGAGCCTGAGCTGGAGCCCAGTGAGCTGCTCCTGGCCGCCGCCGACCCCGAGGCCCTCTTCCAGGCCGCTGAGGATGCTGGGACCCCCGTGGCCCACCCGCCTGCCTTCAGCACCCGCCGCCGCTCCTCTGCCGGCCCTGCCCACAGCAGCAGTCTTGTAAGTCCCTATGGGCTGGGGGTGGGGGTGGTTCTGAGCCAGGATTTGCCTCTGCTGAGTGACCTTAGGTGTACCACCACCATTCCCGAGCCTCAGTCTACCTATCTGTACAAGGGACTGAGGCACTAATACTCCAAGACTGAGGTGAGAGGGTATCAGGCTCTTGGCCCTGAGGCACGCGTGGTGGCTACACTGGCAGCCCCTGGCCAGGGCCCAGCCCCCAGCCCCACCCCCACCCCAACCCCCTGCCCCAGCCAGGCTGAGCCTCCCTGAAGCAGCTGCCACCTCAGCTCTTCTTACCCTTACAGCAGAGAGGCCCTGCCAGGAGGGGAGGAGCTCTGATAGTTGGGCTGGGGACTTGTCTGCAAGGGGCTAGGGAGATGCCCTAGGCTGGGGCTAGAGGCCCCTTAGAGGGTGGTTTTCAGTGGGTGGCGGGGAGTAGGGGTGAACTTCAGTGAGGACTTGGCTCTGAGCGGCCCCAGTCAGACACCTGGTCAGGAGCCTTTGGGCCCTGGTCCAGCCTCCTTGGTGTGTATCGGGGGGAAGGTGGAGGGGAATGTGGTGTCTGGGCACCGGCCCAGGAGGACCCAAGCCTTGGAAACTGGCAGGATAGCACAGCCTGCCTCAGAGGGGGCTGGGAATGAAATAGTAGAAAGAACTCAGGTTCAGGAGCTAGGCTACCTTTAGCTCAGATCCTAGGTTGCATTGCACTTACAGGAGGACTGTGGGCAGGTCATTGAGCTGCTGTGAGCCTCAGTTTTCCCTTCTGTTATAGAGGGACAGTAAAATCCCTAGTGCTTGTACAGTGCTTACTATTGAATGACAATCACCAATATTGCCACTACTAATTGTATTAACACAATCCTGGGTACATGGGAAACCCTACAACAAGGCTCTCAGCGCCTCACACCTCCAAGCCCATCCTTGGGCAGGCAGACTGTCTGGCTAGTGATTATTTCCAAGGCTGCACGAGCAGCTGGTCTGGCACCCTGGCATGGCATCTAGGCCTCTGCTTAAAGTCCATGCCCTCTCCCCACTCTGCAGATGGAACCAGAGCCAGCAGAACCCCCCTCTGCTGCAGTGGAAGTGGCCAACGGTGCTGAGCAGACTCGGGTGGACAAAGCACCAGAGAGGCGGAGCCCACTGAGCACTGAGGAGCTAATGGCCATCGAGGATGAGGGCATTCTGGACAAGATGGTACCGCCGGATCTGGTGGGCTGGGGGTTGGCAGGGGCAGGGACCACCAGGGACCAGGTGGGCAATGACAGGGACTCTATTTGCAGCTGGATCAGACTACGGACTTCCAGGAGCGGAAGCTTATTCGGGCTGCACTACGTGAGCTCCGACAAAGGAAGAGAGGTAGATAGCCAGTTGCCCCACCTAGATCCAGCTGCTCCATTCCCCAGCTGCTCCCCTCACGCTGGGGTCCGGTTCTTGGACACACCAGCTGGTAACTGCCCTACTCAGCTTCTTCTGTAGACCCAGCCATTCCCTTGCCTCCTTCCCCCCTTCCCTAGCTGCTTCTCTCCCCCAGCCACCGCAGTTACTATCCCCAACCAGCTTCTCTTCTCCTTCCTAGACCCAGTTACTCTCTCACCCAGCTACTCCTCCTTGGATCCAATTGCTTCTCCAAGTCCTGTCAACTACTCGGTCCCTGAATCCAGATACTCCTTCTCCCAGCTGCTTCTTTCTCTTTGAGGTCCATTGATGACCACCTTAGTCTCTACCCCCACCTAACTTCCCCTTCCCTGGGCAGAGCTGCTTCCTCCATGAACCCAGCTATTCTTTCCCTCAGAGTCTAGAGTCCATCGCTTCTCCAGGCACTCTAATTACTCCCTCTCTGAATCTAGCTGCTTCCTTCGGGGCCCACTGATGACCACCCAGCCTCTGTTTCCACCTACCTACTTCTTCTTTAGGCCCAGTTACCCACTTCGCCACCTTCTCTCCCAACTACTATTTCCCTGGGTCAAATTGCTTCTCAGGTACCTCCAAGTTCTCCTTCCCTAGATCTAGCTCTTTCTTCCTCTAGCACTCTCCTCCTGGCTGAGGCCCAGTTGAAGGCCCACTCAACTATTGCTGTCACCCAGTTTCTCCTTCGCTGGACTTTGCTACATCCTCCCTAGATCTAGACACTCCCTCCAGATTCAGCTACCCAGTCCCATAGAAGCTCCCTTTTTTGATTCAAATACTCCCCCTTTTGAGTTCAGCTATCCCATGTTCCTGTGTTTCTTCTCAAGTCCATCACCACACACCACACCCCCCCACTCCCTGCCAGGCTGTGGCTATTCCCTCACCCCCAGCCACTCCTTGTACCCTGCATCTTCATATTTCTAACAAGTTGCCCTCCACCCCATCTTGTGTGCCCCTGTGCCCGTGCATATGTGCCGTGTGGGTGATGGGTGACCCTCCTGGGCATGCATGGGGCATCCCCCGCCCAGACCAGCGGGACAAGGAACGGGAACGAAGGCTACAAGAGGCACGAGCCCGGCCAGGGGAGGGCCGTGGCAACATGGCCACTGAGACCACCACGAGGCACACCCAGCGGGCAGCCGATGGCTCAGCTGTCAGCACTGTCACCAAGACTGAGCGGCTCGTCCACTCCAGTAAGGGGCCGAACAGGGCTCTGGGCTCAGGGTGGGGACACATCTACCCCACTGGGCCTTGTGCCTCTCACACCCGTCCTCTCATCCCCTGCCCTTCCAGATGATGGCACACGGACGGCCCGTACCACCACAGTGGAATCGAGTTTTGTGAGGCGCTCGGAGAGTAAGGCCACCAGGCGACGCCCTGTGCCTACCTGCCTGCCTGCCTCCTCAGGCTCTTCCTCGAACTCTCTTTTCGTAGTTTTGTCTGTGTGTTTCTCTGTCCAGTTGTCACTTCCTCTACTCTGCCTGTGGCTACCAGCATCCCTCCCCATACCCTCACCCCGTCTGCTGATACCCAACCCCGGCCTCACCATGCTCCTCTTCCGTTTTCTTGCAGATGGTGGTGGCAGCACCGTGGTGCAAACCAAGACCTTCTCCTCCTCATCATCCAAGAAGATGGGCAGGTGAGCACGGGTACCCACCCCCAGGCCACAGAAAACTCGGCATCACAGGGGACCTCACCGCACACCCATTCTGCAGAGGGGTAGACCGAGGTGCTGAGAAGTGATAGGCATACAGCCAGGGAGGGGCGGAGTAAGGGTCAAACCGCTTCTGCTGCCCTTGTAATCTCACCTAGTCCTCAACTACACCACAGGGGAGGCCAGAGATTTTGCTCCGGGTCACACGGCTCTGAATGGCAACAATAGCATTGAACCCTTGGAGAGCTCTGTCTACCACACTGAGCTGCCTGGTGACACTGTCACTTCCCGGTGTCTGTGGGCACCATCCCCTGTCACAGAGCTCCTTTATACCTTACACCCATGAGGGAGGGGTGTATCCCTCTATCTATGTTAGAGATGTCGGGGCTGATAGAAAGCAGGAACAGGATGAGAAATCAGCCTAGGAACCAGAGGGGTCCAGGGACTCTGACGCACAGAGACCTGCGTTCCCAAGTTCCTGCGCTGCTCCCCATGCCCTCGGAAATCTGAGGACACGGTTCTCAGTTTCCTCATCTTTAGTGTGAATGATAAGAATCCCTCTCTCCTCCTGTGAAGTTTTAAATGGCATGTAGCAAAGGCTCAAAAGACATGAAATATTATTATTATTACCACCATTACTATTATTATGCCAATCATTATTCATTGATAATGTCCAAAATCTGAACTTGTCTGTAACTTGACAATACAATGAGCCTTCTCAGAGAACTACCCAGAGGCCAAATCTGTTGAAAAGAGCTTAACTCCCATCTCCTTTTTGTTTGAGCCTCGGTGTGCCTCGCTGTAAAATGGTGTGATGAGGACGCCTCCCTTGCTGGCTGGCGTTGCCAGAGGGGATTCTGAAAGAGTGTGGGGTGTGGAGTGCAACAAGACCCCTCCCTCGTTGGAGACTTGGGAGCGCCCTAATTGTCAATTCCCGGTCCCTCAGTATCTTCGACCGCGAGGATGAGACCAGCTCGCGAGCTGGCAGCGTGGCAGCACTGGAGAAACGCCAGGCAGAGAAAAAGAAAGAGCTGATGAAGGCACAGAGCCTCCCCAAGACCTCAGCTTCCCAGGCACGCAAGGCCATGATCGAGAAGCTGGAGAAGGAGGGCGCAGCGGGGTGAGCTGCAGCGGGCGGGCGAGGAGGCTGGGGCGGTGCATGGGAAGTGGTGAGTGGGGCCATAAACAGAAAGGGCTGGGATGGAGGAGCCTGAAGATCAAAGGATGCGGAGCTGAGGCCCACTCGGTGGGCTGACAGAAGCCCCTCTAGTCTCGTGACCCAGCTCCTGATGATACCCCTACAGCAGCCCTGGCGGACCCCGTGCACCTGTGCAGCGCTCCACCAGCTTTGGGGTCCCCAACGCCAACAGCATCAAGCAGATGTTGCTAGACTGGTGCCGGGCTAAGACGCGTGGCTACGAGGTGAGCTCTGTGGGACCGGGCAGTAGGCAGTCCCCTAGCACTCGACACCTCCCTCTTGGCAGAACGCTTTCTCATCAACCTGTACCCTTCAGAGCCACCATGATTGGCTGGGAAAATGGGAAACCCTGTAATGGGAAGCAGGCTCAAAGAGGATACATAACATGCCCTAAGTTCCAGAATAAGTAATTAAATGGCAGGGCCTAATGAGGGCCCCTTGGATGGTAGGCACAGTTCAGGGCCAGACCCTACCCTTGGAGTCCCCTCCTCATTGCTCTGGGGGGCCCTGGATAAGTTTCTATAAGTAAGGGAAGGAGTGATGGGGATGTGGCCTTAGCTGGGTGGTGCTGGGCCTCTTGGTCACACTGTTCCTATAAGTTGCAAACATGGGAGTTGACAGACTAAGTTGGAGGAGGCTCATGTTCCCACTGTTCACCTGCTCTGCAGGCTTAGACAAGCTACAGGGCCTCTCTGAGCCCAGTAACCTTAGGTCTGCACTGCCAAAATACTCGGGGGTAGAGGCATGGGGGAGTTGACCAGTCCTACTACCACCCATAGCACGTGGACATCCAGAACTTCTCCTCGAGTTGGAGTGACGGGATGGCCTTCTGTGCCCTGGTGCACAACTTCTTCCCTGAGGCCTTTGACTACGGGCAGCTCAGCCCGCAGAACCGGCGCCAGAACTTTGAGGTGGCCTTCTCATCCGCTGAGTAAGTGTGGGCCCCAGCCCTGCTGGTGTCGGCTGGGCATCTGGGGCTGGGCACCTGGGCCAGGCCCAGCTGCCCCGAGGCCCCCTGAAGCTGGCCAGCTGCCCTGTCAGACAGTGGCTGAGATTCCCCGCCCCAGTAAGCCCCGTCCTCCTCCATCCCGCCTACCCGACGCTGAGTGTGCCAGGTGCCCGCCGGAACGAAGGAGCCACAGGCTCGCCTGCCAGCCCAGGCCAAGGCCCACCAGGTGGCCCTGTCCATATCCCCTCCATCCTCCCTCTGCCCCCTTCTCCCTCTCTCCCTCTCTCTGTCCTACTCTCCTCCTACTATCACCAGAGCTTCCTGCTCCCACGGGATCCCGGCTGGAGATTCCAAAAGGAGGCTCCTGGCCCGGGCACCCTGCCCGCCCAGCCTATATAGGTGTTGCGAGAGGCTTATATAGGACATCAGCAAGCCCTCCACTTTGGAATCGTTACCCCATCTGCTCACCTCACCCTCAGCACCCTTTTCCATCTGTTCTTCTTCTCTGCCTTTCTCTTTCTGGTTCCCCCCAGATATCTTCTTCTTCCTCCTCCCTCCACCTCCTCTCACGCCTCCCTCACCCCCCTCCCTGGGGCACAGCCCTCCTCTCCAACCTGGGCGCCAACGCCTTCGCCCCCCACCCCTTGTTCCCGCTTGCCCCAAGAGTTCTCTGCACCTGTGACTGGTCTGGCCCCCCACCCCTGTCTGCATCGCACACCATTAGTAATGGGTAGTGAGCGGCACGTCCACGATGGGGAGGGGGCATGCGGGGGGCTGGCAGACTGCAGCACTGAGAATGTAACTGAACTCATGTCTCTGTGTGTGTATGTGTGTGTCTCTCCGTTCTTCTTCCCTCTCTCTCCTCTGCCTCTTCCCCCTCTTCCCCACCTGGGCCCCGCCTCCTTGCCCCTTCCCGGCCCCCTACCCTCCCCAGGACCCATGCGGACTGCCCGCAGCTCCTGGACACAGAGGACATGGTGCGGCTTCGAGAGCCTGACTGGAAGTGCGTGTACACGTACATCCAGGAGTTCTACCGCTGTCTGGTCCAGAAGGGGCTGGTAAAAACCAAAAAGTCCTAACCCCTGCTCGGGGCCCCACGGTGAGAAACGCCTCCTCGCCCGCCTGCCCGACACGCTCAGCGGGGCACAGAGAGAGGCCTGGGAGGTGGGTGGTGAAAGCAGGGGGACCCTGACAAGAGCCAGAAGGAGCCAGACGTGCCCTTGCCTGTCTTCTGGCAACGCCACTCCCCTAAATGAGCCAGGCGAACAGAACTGAGATGGAGGGAGCCCAGGAGGGGCCCCAGGGGAGGTGCCTGACCCAGACTGCATGTCCAGGACAGCTATCTGAAAAAAGTGCAAACTAGGCTGGGGTCTGAAGGACAAAATTCAGGCTGAAGGAGGGCAAGGGAGTCCCAGAGAGAGGGATGCGCCTTTGTCCAAGGCTGGGCACAAGAGATGCAGAGCATTTCACCCCTCGGGAGGGAAGGAAGTTTAGTTTGGGGGTAAGATGGAGGTGGGGGCCATGGTCAGATGTTTGAACTTCCTCTTGAGGAGAAGAGTCATAAAACGTTTCCAAAAAAAGAAGGGATGTATGTGGCCTTGTTAGCATTCTAGAACAATCCGTGGATGAGGGATGTGGAGCAAGGGGGTAGACTAGATAGCTGGAGAAGCTTAATAAGAAGTAGAAGGACAGGCTTTCTGATGCATCCAGATGGGCAGGCAGAAGGAGGGTCAAGGGAGCCTCCCAGGCCTGAAGTTTGGGCACTGGGGAGTTGGTGGAGCCATGCTCCATACTGGGGAGCTCAGGAGCAGGGCCAGTTTAGCAGGGAGGTATTTTTGGTTGGGATCCTGGATCCCCCAAGTCAGCTGTGGCATTTCCTCTCTAGTCACCTCAGGGCCACAGTAGAGAATTCAGACCCTGAGCTAAATGTCCATTCCAGACAAGCTCAGAGAAGGAGAGGGATGGGCTCAGAGTGTCCCAGGGGGTTCAGGTCAGAGCTGGGCCAGAAACTAGAACCTCTGACCGCCCCCGCCCCCCACGGTGCCTCTTTACCTTGCTCCATCACTTTTCCTACCCCTTTTGTAAAGAGAAGAAAAGACAGAGACCCAGAGGAAGCAAAGGCATGGACCAAAGTAATGTGAGTCAGGGACAGAGCTAGAGGTGCACTCAGATGCCCCTCGGGGCCTGGAGCCATTGTTGGGGGCAGCCCACATATACACACATATACTCAGAGAAGCTGTGCAGGTGAGGGAGGATGGGCTTGGTGCTGTCTCCAGGTCATATATGGACTTAGGAGCTGCTGCCCAGAAGGCTGGCCTGGAGGGAAGGATGCCCAACCCGGCCCTGATCCAGTTGGAAAGTGTGACTCAGCCGTGCTGTTGCTCAAATTGCCTGGTGTTTGGCCTGTCACTGGGGCAGCTGGAGCCCTGAGTCGTGAGCCCCAGTGTAAACAATGGCTTTATAAGGTCTCCAGGGAAGACACCAGGGGTGGGAGGGAGTTCCACGTTGGGGGAGGGAAGCTGGGATCCCTGGGAAGATAGCCACAGCTGGAAGAAGATGCAGAAAGAGGCTCCTTCTCCATCATAGTACAGCTGGGAAAACAAGCCCACTCTGAGGCAGGGCTGACCCCAGGGCACATAACATATCAGCAACAGAGCTGGGAACCCCTCACTCCTCCTAAGTGCTTCTAAGGTCTCAAATGAGCCAGAAAATGACTATACTGTTCCTGCAAAGATGGGGAAATTGAGTCACAGAGCAGGGCTTTATCTAGCAGCCACAGCTCGTCAGGGATAGAGCCTGGAATGAAAGCGGTCTCCCTCCTCCCAGGTTTCTTCTCTGAAGGAGTTCAGCGAGCCTGGGAGCAGGCCGCAGCCCTACCATGGTCCCAGGTTTGACCTTGAAGGCACAAAATTGGAAGTAGTCCTGAGCCTTTGGGTGTCTTGGGAACAGGAGAGCAATTCCTGCGCTTTTGCTTTCCCTGCCAAAGGAAACTCACTTAACAGCACTGACTAAGTGCTTACTATATGTCAGTCATGGCAGGTGGGAGGGAGAAAAGCAGAAGAGGTCTTGCTCTGAAAGAAGACGAGAAATGGAAACAGGGAGCAAACTCCAGCTTTACAGGTTTGGGGCTGTCAGTTGCTTAGTAGCTGTAGCCCATTCACCCCAGAGTGGGGAGAGGGTTCTTGCAGTAGGAAAGGGAGCTCCAGGCAGGTGCCAACACTTTGGGCTGGGGGCCTGGACCACATCAGGCCCAGCCCTGCACATAATAAGCTGTGAGGCTTGAAACAAATGACTCCTCTGCTCTGTGACTCAGTTTCCCTATCAGGAAAGTACATCTAGCACTCTGGAGGATGGACAGAAGGGTGGTCCCGCCCCTGAGCATGATTTAGATAGTCCTATCTGTATTGATTGGGACCCTCATCTGCCTCCCCTGCTCTATCCAGGGAGGGTAATAAGGGTTAAATAACTGCCCCTCCCCCCACACCCACACATCTCTGAGGCCATCTCACACAGAAGGGTTGTCGTCTGGGGCAACAAAAGGGATTGGAGGGCTTCAGGGTTGGGGGCTCTCTGCAGGAGTACCAGGTCAGGCAGTTGGCAGATAACTGGGCGCAGAGTGTCCCTGGGAAGGTCCTGGCTCATGGAAAGACTTGCCAGGGGTAAGGCCCCTCAGGTGCAATGGCCCAGCTGAGAGGCTTGTGCTAGCTAGAGTGTGCCATTGAGGGTGAGCAGATGGTGGCCCTCCAGAGAGAAGCAGCTGGGGTCTGTAGTCAGAGCCTCCCCAGGGGTAGGTGTAGAGACTAATGCCCTGCCCTGTCTGGGATGAGACACAGCTCTCCTCTTCCTGCATCTTCACCTCCACCTGCCTGGCCTCGTTCCCAGCAAAAGTGCCTCCAGGCTTGGATGGGTGGAGCTTGGGGCTTCCTACCTTCCTGGAAGGCTCCCATCTCTTCAGTCGACCGAGAGTATGGAGTTTATGGGAAACAAGCAGGCTTTGGCAGTGAAAAGACCTTCATGTAGAGGGTCACCACGAGAGCTGGGACCGGGGCTGACAACCACCCCTGTGCCCGCTCCCCGCAGGATGCTGGTGGACTGCGTGCCCCTGGTGGATGTGGAGGACATGATGATCATGGGCAAGAAGCCCGACCCCAAGTGCGTCTTCACCTATGTGCAGTCGCTCTACAACCACCTGCGGCGCCACGAGCTGCGCCTGCGTGGCAAGAATGTCTAGCCTCCCAGCCTGCACGGCCTGCCGGCAGCGGCAGCAGCGAGCTGCCCCCACCATCCAGGCACCCTCCCCTCCCTGTGAGCCAGCCCACAGCTGCCCTGTCTGTCGCGACACCCTCCCCCTTGCATACACAAGCAGCGTTTTGATAAATTATTGGTTTTCAAGGACCCTGACTTGTCTCTGCCTCTCTTCGGAATGTTGAATGGAGGGAAGGGGGAATCCTATTCCCCACCTGCCCACAGCAAAGGAGGAGTCCAGTCTCTTTTAAGATGCAAGAGAATTTAGTGAAGCTAAACAGGGGAATAGTGGGTGGAAATAAAGGAGAATTGAGAGGAACCCCCAACTCCATCCCTCCCGGTTCCCTCCAGGACGAGGTTTCTGCTCTCAGCGAGGGAGGTTCTCCCGGGACGCTGAGCGCTTCATTCTGTCCCCAGGGCTCAGTCAGGGGGGTGCCGCACTCCGGACCTACAGGTCAGCACGGTCCGAAGGGTCTTCAGCGGGCCTAGCAGGCGCCCGCACGTACTCAGGGGGCACAGGGTCGTCGGGCGCTGCCTTGCGGTAGAAGCCGAGTTCCTGCACCAGAGCATTGATCTCCTCGCGGGTCATTTCGCTGAGTGGGATTCGCTGAAGTGGAGGGACTGGGTCAGTCTGCTAGCCTGCTTTTCGCCCCGCCCCCTCCACCTCCCAAGGCCTCACCTCCAGCTCCTCGTAGCGGTGGCCCAGCAGCACCAGCTCTGGGTCGGCCCCCGGGAGGTGTTTCATTACTAGGTTGTGGCTGGAGAGTTAAGGTGGGGAGTGGTGGGGAGTGGTGGGCCCAGGCAGGGGCTCCCAGGGCCTTGCTGATGTGAACAGCACAGGCTTGTTTGCCGAGGGAGGGCAGGGATCCCCATTTACACGTGAAGAAATTAGGATCCAGAGAAGTGCCCTCCTCTCCATTCCTGTGTCTGACAGTTCTCATTAGTCAATTTTATTTGCCTACCCAACTTGGAGACCTCTGAGCAGACACTACCAATCAATCCTACTTGTCAGATGAAAACCATTTGTCATCCTATCTGAAATGAAGTAGAAGGACATTCTCCCAGATTCCCTCCCTTTCTCCCTCCCCCAGAACGGAAGAAGGATACTAGAGTGGGATGTCCTGGGTGACAAAGGCCTTCACCTGGGGAGAAACCAGAGTATCAGACCCTAACCCCCTTAAGGTGCCAATGGGAAGCCGAAGCCCAGCGAGGTGCAGCCAATCAGGTGCAAACTCCAGATACCAGCCCAGAGGTCCTCCCCCACCCAATCCTTGGGACCATGTGGCCCACTCCTCAAGAGGCTCAGGGAACAGAGCTGGGACCCCTTCCTTCAAACTCACCTCCTTCAGGCGATTCAGCTGTCATCCCCCACAGGTCTAGAGAGGAATAAAATGGGATAGGTCAGGGTAACCTCACACCTGCCCCAACCACCCCCAAAGCCATTTCGCTGTCATTTCCCACTTGGGTCAGGCTGTGGATTACTCCAGCAGCTCCCAAGGTGTGAAGATGGAGGCCTCTTGTAGGCAGAAAGGGAGACTCTGTACAGACAGAGAAAAAGATCTAGGAATACTAACGGAAAAGAGGGCAAGGCCAGAGACATTAAGGGCATTTACAGGCCCTGGGACTCTTGCCTGTACATCTTGCTGACTGTTAACTGACTCTAAATGCCCGAGAAAAATGGTCATCCTACTTCTCTCAGGGGGTAGAGACCTGGGCCTCACCTTTGGCCCCTAGAGCCTGAGGGTGGAGCACACCAGAAGGAAACAGCTCAGAACTGCCCTGGGCACCCCCATTAGAGACACCTGCCATCTGTCCCTACCCCACCCCAAGGAGAGCTGGCCCTCCCTGCCACCTGAGATGCAGCCCCATAGACCATCTGGTTGCTTTCCCAACATGGGAAGATGGGAGGGCTCCTGCACTTCCTGAGGGAAGAGGAGCACCTCCCAGCAGGACTCCAGACCCCAGGACCACTCATTCTATTCCTCCCTCCTCCTGCCTCCCCTCCTTTTAAAAGGGTTTTATGTATTTATTTTTAGAGAGAGAGAAAGGGAGGGAGAAAGGGAAGGAGAGAAACATTGATGTGTGAGAGAAACATCCATCGGTTGCCTCTCACATGCCCCAATGGGGGACCTGGCCTGCAATGCAGGCATGTGCCCTGGCAACCAGTAGTTGAACAGGGGACCTTATCGTTTGCAGGACTACGCTCACCCCACTGAGCCATGCCTGTCAGAGCCTCCTCTAGCCACTTTGGTCAGACAACTAAGGCCCAGAGAGGGACTGTGATGAACCAAGTCACACAGCAAGACAGGGACTCTGGTGGAGAATTTCCTCCCGGAAGCGTGTAGGAGTTGGGGGGTTACTGTAGAGTATTGATAATGCAGTTCCTAGCCCCCTTTCCTAGCTTCTGAACGGTGGGGGAAGGCACCCAGAAATCTTCCCTCCCCCAGGCAAAAGAAGAGACAATCTGGAACTGGGGTGGGGGAGGAATTCCAGGAAAAAGTGGAGCGATGGAGGGGGGGAGAGAGGAGGAGGGAGTTGGGCTCCAGGGGACAGGTTTCGAAGAGCCATAGGCCAGGAGAAGAGTTAGGGGACGGGGTCAATGTGTCTGGGACCCCGCTGTCTGATCTGATGGGGAGCTAGGGAAGAGTTCGGATTTCCAGGCCGCAAGATCCAATGTCTCGGGCTTCCACGGTGGGTGCTAGGGAGTCCGTCCAGAGGCTGGGAAGTAGGAGGGATGTTCCCAGAGCCGACGGGGACTCGGAGGTCGGGAGGATCCTGGGGCCAGAGCGGGCGGTGGTTCCCAGGCTAAGGGACCGCAAGGCATGGGAGCCGTGGCCCCTGGGCTGGAGGCCGGCACACTCACCTCTACCCGGGCTCGGGCAAGGCCATGCAGACGGTTCCAGTCGGGTCGGAAGGTGGTGGCAGCGGCAGCGAGTGCCGCGAGAAGCAGCAGCAGGGGCGGCGTAGACAGCGGGAGACGCATCGGAACCGGGACGAAGAAAATCCGCAAGCACGAGGTAAAATGCTCGGCCGCTGCGCCACGTCTGGGCCTGCGAACTGGCCCCGCCCCCGCTCGAGGCCCCGCCCCACCCACCAGAGATCACGCCCCCAGCTCCGGGTGTTCGTCCCAGGGCCTGCAGGGGGTCCCCCAGCTTGCTTCCAGTGGGGTTCTGACCGGCCCCTCCGGCCCTCAGGCCTTTACTTTCTTGGTTCCAAGGGTGTCCACGCTCCCCCTGCCGACAGAGAGAGTGGACGCTCCGGCAGGATGCGGACAGACAGCGCCGTCTCACGCCTGTAGGGGGCGCGGGTGGGATGCGGACGGATAGGGGTTTCTAGGCCATACACGGGACTTCCAGATGGGGAGACTGAGGCCTGGGGAATTCCTGTTTATGTTTTTTTTTCTTTTAATCTCTCTGGACGAAATTTCGATTACGGTTTCAATTCCCCGGAGCACGTATTGAGATGATAGGTACATTACGTACTCTATAGGAGCTGGGATGATAAAAAGATTAATACCCATAAAGCCTTTTAGAACAGTACCTGCCACAGTATTAGTTTTCATTATTCATTCTTTACCTCATAAAAGCCCTATGAACTCCGTTTTGCAGGTTAGGAAACAGGCAAAGATAGGTAAAATGTAATTAAATTGTGGATCTGGGATTTGAACCCGAAATGCCTCTGGGCTTATCTCACCAAAGATAAGTGGACCGGGATGCTACCTGTCCTCTTCAAGCTCAAGGCAGATACAGCAAATTGAACACAGTGCTCTTTCCACTGAATCTAGACTGGGACTCAAAATTATTCTCAACATCAACAGCATTATGATTTTCATGGACTCTAGGCGTTTTTGCCTCTCTGAACCCCTTCCTCCATTAAGAAAATATATTAAAAATTGGATTTTACAACTGCTTTGATAAAAAAAAATCCAGGCTGGATTCATTATTATATATTCATTTTTCTTCTGATTTTAAAAGAAATTAGAACAAAAACATTTTCTGGACCCCTAAAAGTGTCATGGACCCTAGACACTGAGTCTAATGGATGTCAGGTCTGCACTAAGCCCTTTGCTCACCCTGTTACCTCCCATTTATGGACTTGATTATAAAGGTGTAATACTGATAGCCTTAGACCTATTAATTAATATCTATTCTTTATAAATACATGAGGACACTATAAATATAATTGATTCTGTCCAGACTTTTTTTTTTAAAGACATTATTTATTTATTTTTAAAGAAGGGAAGGAAGGGAGAAAGAGAAACATCAATGTGTGGTTGCATCTCATGCGCCCCCTACTGGGGACCCAGTCAGCAACCCAGGCATGGGTCCTATATTGGGAAAAGTATGGGTGAAAGGCCAGCGCTTAATCCACTGAGCCACACCAGCCAGGGCTCTGTCCAGACTTTTAACATGATAGACTAAGTCTAACGCTCCATTGACTGCTGTGTAAGTGTGAATTCATCCAAGCTTCTGAAGGGCAATTTGACTCAATAATCAAAACCCTAAAAATATTTCTTCGGCCCTGGCCGGTGTGGCTGAGTTGGTTGGAATGTTGTCCTATAAACCAAAAGGTCACAAGTTTGTTCCCTGGTGAGGGCACATACCTAGGATGCAGTTCTGTTCAGGTTGAGGCACATGAGAGAGGCAACCGATCAATGTTTCTCCCTCACATCAGTGTTTCTCTCCCTCTCTCCCTTCTTACCTTCTCTCTAAAATCAATAAGCATGTCCTCAGTCGAGGATTTATACATATTAAAAAACATAAATATATATATTTTTTAAAATATGTAGAAATATATATGGAAACATACATATATTTCCTTGACCCAGTCGTTTCTTCTCAGAATTTGACCCAAAGTAATCATCAGAGAGAGGACGAATCATTAGATAGAGCTTATTTATCAAAACACAGTTTAGCCCTGACTGGTGTGGCTCAGTGGGTTGACCGCAGTCCTGCAAACCAAAGCGTTGTACATTTGAGTCTCAGTCAGGGCACACGCCTGGGTTGTGGCCTGAGTTCCAGGTTAGGGGTGTGTGAGAGGCAACCCATTGATGTTTCTCTCACATATCAATGTTTCTCTCCCTCCCTTTCTCCCTCCCTTTCCCTCTCTCTAAAAATAAATAAATAAAATCTTTAAAAAGAAAACAGTTTATCATGGTAAAAAACTGAAGATACAACCTAAGTATGTCACAGCAGGGAATGAATTAAATAAATGATGATACCTCCATATGACTGAAAACCAGGCAATTGTTTCAAATGATGTAGCATAGTGTTGATTGACATGAAAAATGGTCATTGTTAAAAAAATCCTGCCACCAAACAGCAATATCACTGCGGAATTGTGATGCTCTGGGCTTCAAGTCACAGAAGCCCCAACTGACTTAAAAAACAAACATTTTGCCTCAAATAACAAAATAGTTGAATGGCATGGAGGGCTTTAGGCAAAGTTTAATCCATTTGATAAAGTTGTCGAAGCTTGATCTCTCTCCATTCTTCTTTCAGCTGATCATTAGGCCAGTTACCTGCATGGCCTCAAGATGGCTAACCAGGACTGTAGACTTCTTCATTCACATCCAATCGAGGGGTAAGTTGTTTTCTCTTTTTTGTTTTTTTTTGGGGGGTGCTTTTTTTTTTTTGTAATCTCCTCAGGAGAGTAAGCAAACTTTCTTTCCCAAAAGTCCTCCTTATAATCCACTAGTCCATTCATGATCCAGTCATGTGGCTGGAAAAATGGGAATTACTCAATGGCTTAACAAATTGGGACCCATTCCTGAAGCCTGTCAAGGATATGGACTGTAATGGACATTGTGACAGCAACAGGGCAACCAACCAATTTTATAAAATGTGTATATGTAAATATACAGGATGTGGCAATAAGAGAGTTACGATTGTTCATATGGAAACTTATCCAATCATTTTAAAATGATAATACAAGAATGAATTGTTTCACGTACTCACACTGTAAACCTACTTTTGCCTCACCCTATGTATGCCTAGACCAAAAACCAAACCTAGAAGGAAACAACCCAAGAAGTCAAAATGGTCATTTCTTGGTAGATGAAATTATAGGTGAAAATTTTCTCCTTACACTTTTCCTGTATTTTCTATAATAAATATCTATTACCTAAACACAAAGAGTAAATTTTCTTTAAAAAAAACAATGGGCCTTTACGGGTTGCCCAGTTGGTGGGAGCATCACCCTGTACATCAAAATGCTGCTGGTTAGATTCCCAGTCAGGGAACATACCTAGATTTCGAGTTTGATCCCTGGTTGGGGCACATATGCGAGGCAGCCAATAGATGTTTCTCTCTCTCTCTCTCTCTCTTCCTCCCTCTCTAAAATCAATTTTAAAAATATCCTTGGGTAAGAATTAAAAAAAAAACAAACCATACACTGGGACTCACGTCATGGGCTCCCCCTAACAACCCCATACCTCAGCAAGGGCCTCAGAGTGGCTAAAGACTGAGGCCCCATGGACATGGAGCCTGTGGCTTTTCTGCAGACAGAACCAAGCCTCAATGCCCCATGGGCCCATGTTGTTCACTGGATAGATGCCACCAAACCACTCTCATTGCATTAATCTGGATGCTGTGGCCTGGAGGGCCCACAACCTGGGCTGCTGAGGGTTGAATAGCCAGCCAGTGGAACCAGAGGTAGAGACACTGGCCACAGCAGTACCGGGAACTTTCTGCACCAGCAGCCACGGGAGGCCCAGAATCTCCCAGAATGATCTCTGATTGTAATCCATTCCCTTATGTAGCACCTCGTAATCTAGGTCAGCAGCCTTCCTCAGGTGGGGCTGGGTTTGGGGTTTAGTCTGTGATGGGGTCAGGCTGAGACAGGATCACGGTGAGCCCTTAGCCTAAGGCCAGGGTTAGAACTGAGTCTGGGGCTGGTGTCCCTGCTCAGCCAATGATGAGGCTTGGACCTCACTCTGTGGCCAGGATCAAGGCTTAGTCTGCGACCTTACTCAGGGCTCAGCCTTTGACCAAGTTCAATGCACAGAGTGAGTTTAGGGACCAGTCTGTGACCAGAGTTGTGTGACCCAGAGTCAGAGTTCAGTTTGAGCTCAGGATTCAGTCAGTTGATTAGGCTCAGGGCTTAGTCTGTAAACAGGATCAGGATTCAATCTTCCACCAGGCTCAGGGTTTAGGTAATGACTGGACTCAGAGCTCAGTCTAAGCTTGGGGTGAGGGCTCACTATAAATCAAGGGTTAATCTAGACTAGAGTTAGGGTTAGGCTTAGGGTTAGTGTTCAGTCTGTGACTGTGACTCAGTCTAAGGCTAGGATCATGGCTCAATCTGGGTCCAGAATAGAGGTTTAAGTCAGGATCAGCCTTAATCAGGCTTGGATCCGGCTATGTATATGACCAGATTCAGGGCTCTATCTAAGGCCATGGTCAGAGCTCAGTCTAGAGCTGAGGTAGCGGCTCAGTCTTGGCACGAGATCAGGGCTCAGAGAACACCAAGGTTGGGGCTCGGGTTGGATCTGGAATCAGGGTCAGGGTTTAATCTGGCTCTATGCTCTGTTCTAAGCTCTGGTAAAAAAAGTTTCTGAAGACATGGGAGCCCGGGGCAGGTCAGCAAGCATGAAATAAGAGCCCCCGGGCAAGCTTATGTCCCTGCAATAAGGTTCTCCTTGCCTGCTAAAGCTGGGTGTCCTAGAGCCTTCTAACCTACATGGCTCTGCTGCCCGAGATCCCCTCGCACCAGAATAAAAATAGCCACTCACTTCAGAGCAGCTGACAGCGGGTGCCAGGCTGCCTAGGAGGAGGGGGAGTGGAGGAGAGGGAGGCAGGACGCCTGAGCTCAGCCCCAGCTGTGTGACCTTGGAAAAGTCAGTCCTCCTCCTTGAGCCCATTTCCCGGGGGCTAAGTGGGGTGTGAAGATGACGCCTACCCCAGAGGATGAGAACAAGGGGACAGCGACATAACATGTGGCACTTGGTATCAACAAGGAAGCCTGGAGTGAAATCTTGGGCAGAGAAATGGTCCCCCATGCCCTGTACATTCTTCTCCTCCAGGAAGCTCTCCCTAATGCTTTTCCCACCTTCCCC